AAATATCTTATTAATTAGTTATCTTTAAAATATTTATAATATAATGCACTCAAACATATGATTAATTTTTCTAAGATAACTAATTTAATGCTATTCGTACTGTACCAAGGTGCCGATTAAGATTAATGGTAGAAGTGGTCGTGTACCGTACTTGACAATAAAATTGCAAATGATTAAATGTGCCCAACATTTCGCTATAATAAATATTATATCTTATCTAAAATTATTTGAAGTATCTAAATATTTCAATTTTCCCCGTTTCAGATATCTAAATCCATTAGATAATTTATTTTAAATTCATCACAAATAACAATTAATTATTTATAGCAGATATTCATAAACAAAGGTAGTTTTCTATATGAATATTTTCAATAAATTATTCTAAAATAAAACCAACAAAATGATCATGCTGCAACTGCAATATTTTTAATCGAGTTAATAAAATTGTTTATTTAAATTTGTTAATACAGTACATAATTAATATAAAAACTTTAATTTTTCATTAATTCTAATTAGTATTACTTTTAAAACTGGGAAATTCCGATAAAATTCTTGAGCACCTGTAGGGCAGCCACTGGTTTATCGTAGGGAACCATATGTCCGGACCCGCGGACTAACACGAAACTCACGCCCTTCTCGTAGTTTTGCACAAATCCACCGACAAATCCATCAGGGTTTTTCCATTCACTGGAAAACCATTTTAAATCAAATGGTTAACGAATCATTAAATTATTTACAATTTATGAAAACCACGTGTTTTTATACCTGTAATGTCCGACTGATTTAAAGCCGAGTCCGGCCACAAAGCGTTGGTCACCAATAAAATTGCAAACAATATCAAAGTCGCCGTTATAGACGACAAACTTCTCGAGTTTATATGTATTAATCAACTCAAGTGTTGTGTCTCTCTGTGGTGTCATATATTTGGTCCGATCGTAAGAACCGCCGCAATCGCTCCAATGTTTGGCATCACTCCTAACGTGTATTGCTTTTCTAACCTCGGCTAAATTAAGGTAATCTGCGAAGCCATTGTGCGGACATTTGGCAGCCTTTGCTTCAGACTGAACCCTCTTTGCAAATTTAAAGCCATGTTTCTCATAGGTTTCGCGATAATACTTGTCAAACAATTCTTGATACCCGTTACTCGCATCACAATCATCATAGACATTGTAATGGTTGGGAACGTCTACCTGTTCCAGTTGGGTGGCTGCACATTTGCTATATTTTACAAATTAGAAATAATTTTAAAACATTTTATAAATTAAATAATATGATTAGCCTAAAGTGAAATATAATTTTGGTTCAAACCTAGCATTTGCTGGCTTAAAGAAGTCGCATTCATGTAATACTTGTCCCGTTTTGCATTCACAACAGTTTTCAATTTGACGTTCATATGAATCAGTGGTAACCAATCCGTGGGCTAAGAAGAAGACATAGTTGGACAGATCAAAGATTGATCCTGTTAATACACCATTTCCAATAGCAACACCTGTTTATATTCAAATTCTGTATTAATTCAATCGACTAGCTTACGATTTAGTAAATAATATTTTATAAATACCTTTCAATTTAATTGTGGAATTTTTGCTTAAGATTTCTTTGGCTAACATTGGGATATAAACTCCGGCATAACTCTCACCCGTTATATAAAACGGATTTTTCTTATAATTGGGATATTTCTTGAAAAACTCTTCTAATACTAAGTGATTGTCCTCTGCCGTAGACTTATCAGTATTATTATAGACGCCGTCGTCTTTATAACTAAATCCGGTTCCGGCCGGGGATTCAAGATATATGACATTCGCCACAGTATTCCAACTGTGAGGGTTCAACACCATGGTCTTCCCGTCGGAATTCACTCGAAAGGGTCCGTTCTCTCCCAGGTTTCCAAACAGTGAACTACAACCGGGTCCTCCATTCAGCCATAGGACTACAGGTGCGTTCTCGGGATCTTTTTGACTCTCAACGAACCAATAGAAGTAATGTTTGCCTTCAGTTATATCCAAATAACCGGAATATTGCTTAAAATGAATAGCTTGTGGAAGACCCGGAAGATCTTTGATTTCATCATCATTAACTGCTAATACTAAACATATGTTTAATACAAAAATACTAAAATATTACAAATTGTGTTATTTTATCTACAATTCCTAATTAACGCAATAGGACTGGCTGTTGGCAATGCATTACTTGATGGTGATCTTGACAGTCAGGCTTCGTATGACTTTGCTTTAGGACATGGATTAGTGACCACTGAGTGGTACGAGAAAAAGATTGAGAGCTGTTATGAGTGTAAGTCTGGTCCTCAACATGAGTGCGATTTTCTGCATCCAGTAAACGTCACGTAAAGATATTTATAAAATAATCATAAGAATTAACTTTTTCTATAATTAATACTTATTATTATGTAATTGTATAGTAAGTGCTCATCAGTAGGCTATGCCTCTGTCTCGACCCCCAATCCATACAATATATACGACGAATGCTTTCCCGACCTATACTTGCAGTACGTATTCAACACTTACTATAAGCCACAGTTTGACAAATGGGTCTCAAATTCCCATTGAATGGAGAGTATAAGGAAAATGTGAATAAACCGAAGTGTCCTAAGAATGGTCACACGCCTTACCTCAACCAACCAGATGTACGCAAAGCATTGCATGTGAGGGAAGACACCCAGAGATGGACCCATTGAATGGAGAGTATAAGGAAAATGTGAATAAACCGAAGTGTCCTAAGAATGGTCACACGCCTTACCTCAACCAACCAGATGTACGCAAAGCATTGCATGTGAGGGAAGGCAGCCAGAAATGGGTTGGCTGTGGAGGAATTTATGATATTTCAGGCGCCTATACAGTTCAGAACGAAATTGCAAAGGATTTGATAAATAAGTACAAAATCGGGAAACTTATTATATATAACGGAGACTTTGACACGAGATGTAACTTCATTGCTGACCAACGCTTTGTCGATGAATTGGGATTTAAAAAGACTAATGAATATGAGTATGAATTTAGTTTAAGGCAATAACTTGGATATTTAATATAATTATAATTATTATTTAGACCCTGGACTGTTGATGGACTACCCGATGGAGTTATTGGTGGGTTTAAGCAAAATTATGAAAATGGTTTAAGTTTTGTATTATTTCGTGGGGCCGGGCATATGGTGCCTCAGGACAAACCCGAAGCAGCCCTTCATTTCTTTAAAGATTTTATTGCAATTTCTAAATTATAAATATTTATTGCATTCAATAATTATAATATAAAAAATTAAATGGTTTGTTCATAGCTTATGTTTCATAAGTTATGAATATTAAAATAAATATTTTAAAATTCCATAAATTAATTTATAAATTAGTTCAAATTAATTTTATTTGAATTAAAACTGTGTGATTCCGACCACATTCTTGAGTAACTGTAGGGCAGCCTCTGGTTTGTCGTGAGGGACCATATGTCCGGCCCCGCGGACTAACACGAAACTCAGGTTTTTCTCGTAGTTCTGCACAAACCCACCAATGAATCCATCAGGTGTTGTCCATTCACTACAATTAATTTATAGTTTAAAATCTATTTTCTGCATAAATATTATATTAGGTTTTTAATGTACAAAATTTGATTACCTATAGTGACCAACTTTGTTAAGTTTTAAACTATCGATAAACCGTTGATTCTCAACGTGACCGCAGACGGTATCAAAGTTTCCATTAAACACAACAAGTTTTCCAATTTTATACTCATTTAATAATTGATTGAAAACAGGTGTCTGATCGGTGTCGCGGTCGGTGTAAGTGACGGAGTAAGAGCCGCCACAATCGACCCATTGTTTGGCGCCTTCCTTAACGTGAAGAGCTTTACGGACTTCAGGACTATTCAAATAGTCTGGGTATGCATTGTATGGACACTTTAGTTCATTAGACCTTTCACTAATAGGCTTTTTGTTTAATTTCTTTGCGTAATAATTGTTATAAAGTCTAATATAAGCGGAATTAGCGCCACAATCATCGTATATGTTGTATGGGTTAGGAGGATGCATTTCCTCCATGTGAACTGAATAACATTTCCTAATAATAGATATTTATACAGTTTATGAAATTAATAAACATTGATCTTATTATTTATAAAGAAATCTTACGATCCATTTGTCGGGTGATAGAAATCGCATTCATGCTGTACTTCTCCTGTTTTACATTCACAGCAATTCTCAATCATCTTCTCATAGGACTCCGTTGTGAGCAATCCGTGGCCCAAATTAAAGTCATAATTAGCCATATGAATAAAAGGGGCTTTATTTGCATTGTAATCTCCATTTCCAATGGCTACACCTTTTGTTTTAATATAAATTAAATATTTTTATATTTATCGAATATGTACTGTATGAATTGTGAATTTATTAATTACCTTTCAAATTAATTGTGGATTTATTGCTGAATATCTGTTGGGCTAACATTGGGATATAAACTCCGGCATAACTTTCACCCGTTATATAAAATGGGTTTTTCTTAATCCTCATCCCCGTCCACGCCATCCATGCGGTCGTTGTCTTCGTACTCATGGATGTTATCACTCAATGAATTGACGACATCTTTGACGGAATCACTCAATGAAGTCATGACTGAAGACAAACTGAAAGTCAAACCAAAACTTCAAAACTATTTTTTGCCGCAAATTCACTGTATTTCATGAAACAGACGATCGCTTCCAGTGAACGCCACTTATTATGACATTATGTCTATAAACCTATTAATTGTGTTTATATTTTGTTAAATGATTTTATATATAATAATAATTAAAATAAACATTTGATTTAATAATTAGATTGAATTATAATTGTATTAATAGTTGAGTAAATATAAGGTCACATTAAATGTGTTTTACTGTATGTCTCATAATAATCTGAATGAGAGACTGTAATAGTGTTGAGAAAGTAATAGAAAGTGTGTTGAGTGTGAAGTAGTCGTATAGCAATGTAGGTGAACGTGTTGGGCCAGTGGCGCAACGGATAACGCGCCTGACTACGGATCAGGAGATTCCAGGTTCGAATCCTGGCTGGCTCGCTACTTTTTTGACCTGTTTCATTTTGTTTTTTTAATTTTTACATGTTAATCAATGTTCTAATTATTTTTACATATTTATAATTATAAGATCCATGTAAGATTTTAATAATACTAGCTTTTAAATTCGATTAGCTTGCATATCACCATACAAATTAATACAGTAATAAATTATACAGTGTATACTATACACTGTATACTATTGTGTATGACAGTAACTCTCTATGTTTTCTATGTATTGAATTTCTATGGGAACTCATAATTTTCAATTTAAATAAGTACTTTGCTTACTATCATAAAAAGATTTTATTTTTAAACATTTATTTCTAATAATTAATGGATAGATTGTCATTTTTAAACATGATACACGGTATATATATCAGTAGTTTTAATGTTTGTCTTAAAGTTTAGCCAGTCCAACCAAGTCTTTAAAGATCTGTAGGCCGGCCTCTGGCTTGTCCTGAGGCACCATATGTCCGGCCCCGCGGACCAACACAAAGCTCAGGCCATTCTCGTAGTGCTCTACGAAACCACCGATTACTCCATCAGGCTTTCCATCGACCCTCCACTCCCTGTCCAGACATATAAATAATCATAAATTAGTTAATATTACAGAATATCACAGAATTTGCATTAAAGGCCGGACCTATAACTCTCAGTCTTTTTACTTTTGGTTGAAACGGCGATCCTATCAACGAAGCGCTGATCGGATATGACGGTACACATCGTATCGAAGTCGCCGTTATAGACAACATATCTCCCGATTTTGTACTTATTTATCAAATCAATGGATGTCTGCTCCTGAGATGTCCAACCCTTGGATTCATCGTAGGAACCGCCGCAACCAATCCATTTTTTGGTGCCTTCCCTCACATGCAATGCTTTGCGTACATCTGGTTGGTTGAGGTAAGGCGTGTGACCATTCTTAGGACACTTCGGTTTATTCACATTTTCCTTATACTCTCCATTCAATGGGAATTTGAGACCCATTTTGTCAAACTGTGGCTTATAGTAGGTGTTGAATACGTACTGTAAGTATAGGTCGGGAAAGCAGTCGTCATATATATTGTATGGATTGGGGGTCGAGACAGAGGCATAGCCTACTGATGAGCACTTACTATACAATTAGATAATAATAGGTATTAATTATAGAAAAAGTCAATTCCTATGATTATTTTATAAATATCTTACGTTACGTTTACTGGATGCAGAAAATCGCACTCATGTTGAGGACCAGACTTACACTCACAACAACTCTCAATCTTTTTCTCGTACCACTCAGTGGTCACTAATCCATGTCCTAAAGCAAAGTCATACGAAGCCTGACTGTTAAGATTACCATCAAGTAATGCATTGCCAGCAGCCAGTCCTATTGCGTTAGTTAGGAATTGTAGATAAAATAACACAATTTGTAATATTTTATATAAATTGCAATTACCTTTTAAATTGATAGTTGAGTTGTGTTTGAATACCTCATTGGCCAACATTGGTATATAAACGCCGGCATAACTCTCACCCGTTATATAAAACGGATTTTTCTTCAAATGCGGATATTTTACGAAAAAGCTTTCGACGGCTAAGTAGTTGTCATTAGCGGTGGACACGTCGTCGTTGTGGGGATTAGTGGTTGTTTCGTCATAACTGANTTTTTCTTCAAATGCGGATATTTTACGAAAAAGCTTTCGACGGCTAAGTAGTTGTCATTAGCGGTGGACACGTCGTCGTTGTGGGGATTAGTGGTTGTTTCGTCATAACTGAAACCCGTAGAGACCGGGGACTCCATGTAAACCACATTCGCCACTGTATTCCACGAGTATTCATGAATAGAGAGTGTCTTTCCGTCCTCATTGGCTCTGAAGGGGCCGTTCTCTGTAATCATACCAAATATAGAGCTACAACCGGGTCCTCCTGTCAGCCACAGGACTACCGGTGCGTTCTCGGGGTCCGTCTCACTCTCGACAAACCAATAGAAATGATGCCTTCCTTTGGATGCATTTAAATAACCCGAATATTGCTTGAATTTAATGGGCTGTGAGAGCCCCGGGAGGCTCGTTATTTCATCCTCGTTGGCCCCCAACACTGAATATACATTCAGAATTATTGTCAATACAATTAAACAGCATTTAAATAACCCGAATATTGCTTGAATTTAATGGGCTGTGAGAGCCCCGGGAGGCTCGTTATTTCATCCTCGTTGGCCCCCAACACTGAATATACATTCACAATTATTGTCAATACAATTAAACCTAGACAATTCATTTTAATATTTATATTTGTGTGGTTTGAAACAAACTTTACTAAAATATAAAAAGATTCTTTATATAACAAATAGGTTTTTAAAATTACACAATTTGATAATTAAATAGATAATAAGCTAACATTATACTGTAACTAATACAATTGTCAATTGCAAAATAACTTTCATTTCTAAGAAATAATTCTCATAAATACCACATATTTGACAAAAATAATAATAATGAATATGAATCAGGGTATATCATGTGAATTGAAATTCTGTAAAAATGCGATAATCCATACAATAATCTAATCAATTAATTAAGTTACTCTTTTGTATACCTAATTGTATACCTCCCAGTGCTTTGGGGTCTCATAAAAGTTTAACCTAATGTACTGTAACTTTGGTCCAACACCTGATTGTCGATTCATTTCAAATATTGAATCTTTATTTATCTCATAATTTTTAATTACACTTTTTCCTAATTACTATAAAAATTTGTATATATTTTGAAATACTTTCACGAAATATTGATGTGAAGTATAATCAAATTTATAAATTCAATCAAATGTATAAGTCTATTATTAAGAAAATGTTGATCACTTAATCTAATTAGTAATACTTTTAAAATACTCCAAAATATATTGTAAATTCGGGACAGTTGTTTCATTATTTTTAACAATAATACAATATTTAATACTAATCATTATATTTTTAATATTGATTATACAGAATTTAATTTGAGAGCATATTGATAAAATTGACATTGAACATGGCTAATCAGGTGGAATCCAATTGGTTGATCAAACACACGTTTAAATAAACAATGATTTCTATATAATTATGCAAAGTATCCCAGACTAACAAGTAAGATAATAAATAACTTAAAAAGTGATTTCACTTATTATGATCAAGTAAAGGTTTAATTCTATAAATACAGTATGTTTATATTCTCATAGTATGTGTCATTGATTTTAAATTAACTTTCCATACTTTATATAAAGTGAAAATTACTTTAACTGTTAATTTCAAATATTAA